TGCTGCAGCCAACTGAGCAAGCAGCACCCTTGTGTCGATGCACCACAGCTCGTTCCTGCAGCAGCAGCTGCTGCTGCTGCAGCTGACTGAACAAGCAGCTCCCCCGTGTCAATACACCGCGGCTTGTTCTTGCAGCAGCAGCAGCAGCAGAGCAAGTGTTACTTCGGAACTTGTTTGATTTGCTTCAACTTGTTCGTTGGGGTGTATGTACAGATCGGCGTCACCCTCAGAGACCAATTTGGAATTCCCCAAGTCAAAAGTGTCACTGGCAGCAAAATCCTGCGCATCCTCAAGAAGCAAGGTAAACCCTAAACCCTAATTCCAAACCCTAGTTAGCAGTCCGCAGATCCACGCTCTCAAACCCTAGTTTTCAAACCTTGATTTCCGAGCCCCAGCTACCTGTAAACCCTAAACCCTAGTTTTGCAAACCCTAAACCCTAATTTCTGAAACCCTAAGCCCTCAGCGGGATCGGTTAACTCTTCATGCACTCCTCAATCAGGAAAAGTATATCTTTTTGAATTTTGTCTCCGCATGCAACTGATAGTCAATTAATTATTTCAAATTATATTTCTTGGCTAACAACGCATGCAACAGCAAAACAGCGCGAGATTCAGCGCGGAGCCACCTAGGGGTTCTGTGGCGGCCCCGCCGTCGCCCTCGCGCGCATTTCTTCCTTTTTTCATTTTTATTTTCAAAATTATTAATTATGTGCTGCATGCATTTTTTGAAACATTTAAATGTGATTTCCTCGCTGTTTCGCCAGCTGGGTGTTCCATCTTGACATATTTCGGGTGTACGGGCACATCTGTACGTAGGATGCTGGGGCGCACAGTTCCGTTTTTGTTTTTGTTTTTTGGATATTTACGAAATATAAATAAATAAATGGAATTTAAAAGTTGAAATAGTGAGAAATTGTCGCAAGGGAGACGTTATAGGCGCCAAGATGCCCATTGCAACATGAAGTTGCAACTTGAATTGAATTGGGCAGATCTGCCCGCTGCGTCCATAGGCGTCTGTTTCTCCCCGGATGCATCCAATAAAGACCACAACAACTTAATTAAATAATCGTTTAAAACATATTAAACAATTATTTGTGGATTTATTGAGAGCAGCAGCAGCTGCGGGTGCTGAAACTGGACAAGGACCTGCTGCTGCGTGTTTCCGCGCCGCAGGAATAGCGCCCGAGATCCCCGAGGACTTGTACTTTTTAATTAAAAAGGCGGTGGCTGTTCGCAAACATCTCGAGAAAAACAGAAAAGATGCAGATTCCAAGTTTCGTCTTATTTTGGTGGAGTCCAGAATCCACCGCCTGGGCCGCTACTACAGGCGCACGAAGCAGCTGCCGGCCACGTGGAAGTACCAGAGTTCCACGGCTTCCGCCTTGGTCGCATGACCCAAACCCTAAACCCTAAACCCTAGGCGCGGAGGCCGCGGGGACCCGGGGTCTAGACCCCCGCGGGCTTGCCGCCTCGAGGCTTAGAGCCCGCTGCCTAAACCCGCGGTTTAGAGCTGCTGCGGTGGGTTGGCGCTGCTGCGGTGGTTTGCTGCTGCTGCAGTAGTTCGGCGCTGCTGCAGTGGCTTGGCGCTGCTGCAGTGGTTTGGCGCTGCAGCAGTGGTTTGCTGCTGCTGCAGTGGTTTAGTGGCTTCAGCATTGAACCTTCTTGCTTCCTTTCTGCTTCCTCAGAGAACGGCAGTTCCTGCGTGCCGACAGGGGTCAAGGCCTAGGGTTTAGGGTTTAGGGTTTTTGTGCAGCTGTGCGCGCTGCAGAAGCCTAGCCAGGGTTCAGGCCCCGCGAAGGGATGCAACAACAGTGCCTAGGGTTTAGGGTTCAGGGTTTAGGCTTGCTGCGACGACATGCAGGCTTCAGGGCTTAGGGCTGCTAGTTGGACCTAGGGTTTAGGGTTTAGATTCGTCCCAGATACCGATGGTTTAGGGTTTAGCAGAGGAAGTTAGGCTTCAGGGTTTAGGGGAAGCTCCGAGGGTTTAGGGTTCAGGCTGCTAGAGTTTAGGATACGGGCAATTTCGTGGCATTTAGGGTTTAGGGTTTGGGTTCAGTAGCTGAACCTAAGGTTTAGGGTTCAACCATTATAGCCAAGCCTAGGGTTTAGGGTTTAGGCTTATGGCGGCGCCGAGAACTAAGTGTTAAGGCCTGCTAGTGAGGCCTAGGGTTTAGGGTCTAGGTGGTTTTGAAGAATTAGGGTTTAGTGTTCAGCTTTGTTAGGGGCACCTAGGGTTTAGGGTTTAGGCTTATTGGGGGCAACTTGACTTGAGGGTTTGGGCCTCTTAGGGGCATCTTGGACTAAAAAGGTTGTTGGGACCACGTAGGGTTTAGGGTTTAGGACATAGGTAAAGCTAGGGTTTTGGGTTTGGGGTTTACGGTTGTTAGCGGCGCCTAGGGCCTATGGTTTAGGCAAGTTAGAGGCAACTTCAGTTTAGGGTTTAAGGTTTAGGGTTTGGGGTTTAGGCCTTTTAAGCGGGTGTAGGCCTCAGGCCAAAGCCTTTAGGCACACACGTAGGGTTTAGAGTTTGGGCTCTTCGCGGGCTTCTAGGGTTTAGGGTTTAGGGCTTTCGGTGAAACCTAGGGTCTAGCTTTTATAATTATTAAGGGGACCCATGGTTTCTTGTTTTGGCCTGTTAGGGTTTAGGCTGTCAAGGGCAACTAGGGTTTAGGGTTTATTCTCTTTAGGGTTTAGGGTTTATTCTCTTTAGTGTTTAGGGTCTACTTTTTTTAGGGGCTCGGTTTTAGCCTGTAAAGGGCAACTAGGGTTTAGGGTTACATAATTCCCAGCGACGCTGCCAATACCACTTTTAAGGGTTTAGGTTTTTGCAGGCACTTAAAAGCACTGCAGCACAAGTTAGGAGGCCAGAGTCGGTAAGCAGCAG